CAATAGACACTCTTGCCTTTAAGAAACTAGATGAGCTATAAAAACTAAAATGGATAAGATGTAAACATAACTTATGATAATTTTTTTTTTAAACCTCCTCCTAACTTAAGCCTATATACCTGTATGCAGCAAGATATTAAAACAATTTTGATATGCCAAAAGAACAAGAGACAGGTTCCTACAGAAAGGATAGATGTGAATATTTGCAACTTGGCTTTACCATTACCAGGCGATCTTTCAGCATTTCTCAAATAACTACTTTAAACATCCTGCATCACCTTTAGTTAATAACTGTGAAATGAAGGCTTATATTCAGAGATCTGGCATAGACCTTCATCTGGTATAGCTGTCCTCAGATAAACAGCTTTTGAACTAGCCCTTACCAGCTACTCATTTCTGTTGTTGAATATTTAGAAACAAAACACCATATAGTGTCATTTGGTTGTAATGAATCACTAGTTGAGCTGGCCATAGCTAATTCAAGTAATTAAGAGGCATGATACATGAATTAGTTGTTACTGCAAGGAATGAATCTTTTCTTCTCTTCATCTTGTGAAGGGCTCCTACGCATTAGAAAAATCAGCCAATATATGGAAGATCCCATAATGAACCTCCTTACTTCAATCCTATTTTACTGAGCATCGGAGTTTTCTCCAGTGACAGACTATATATTCAGAATGGATGTACTTCCTCAGCAATGGCCAGGGATAATGAAAAAGAAACTCACTTTGATGGTCTTTCTTTCCCATACAGTCGCACTCAAGCAAGTCATGGGTAACACAGCTGGAATCTTCATGAAGAGTAAAGAGATTTCTAAGCTCCTCAATGGAAAAATGGATGTGTTCAGATGTCTTGGAAAGGTCTACAACTGCCCCAGAAAGGTCTTGTTTGCTGATCTGTCTTTGATAAATCTTTTCTTCTATTGAGCCTGTATTGAAAAAAAAAAATAGATACACTGGGATAATTTTTGACCAGTATTTGTCAAGAAGAAAAATCAAATCCATTTCTTGATAACAATACTCAAAGGAAATGCTAAACCACTATTTTTAGTTATTCAAGCAAAAGCAAAGCAAAGGCAAATGAATCAATGAGATGTCTCTATTTTAACTGAATTCAGAACAAATAAGATACATTTTTAAAGAATGAATGATTTCCAAAAACACTCCCTCCCTTTCTTTTATGGACAAAATTTCAATAGCTGTCTCACTCTAGGGTATGTTTGAGTACCATCTCTGACCTGTGGTTAGCAGTCTGTAGATATATACAGTACGTTTCTGACCATCTCTCCACACTCTAGCCATTGCCTGAAGAAAGCAAAAAAATGAAGAGCATTAACAGCCTACCTACTATACAACGGTATTTCAACTAAAACATGTAGTCTCCACTGATCGAATTACCAGTTCTGCTAGCTCATTCAAAAAGATGTTGTCCAAAGAAAGCATTCCTCAATAACTGTCTTTGACTGTTTTTATAAAAGTCTTCTAGTACTAACTGTAAATAATTTTGAAAATATAATTTACTTTCTGCCATTTATGCTCCCCTTTCTTTCTGTGTACTACAGTAGGAAAGCAGAGGTTTCAATTCTTTCCTGCCAGAAATCTCCTCTTTGTATTTGTTTTCCAAGTGTTTGCAACTGTTTAATATTTCAGGAATACTCATCACTCTCCCCCATCTCCAAAATTGTTTTTTGCCACAACACACCTTTAAAAATCACTTTTCTATTTCTTTTAAAATTGTAAAATTAGTGTTTCACACCCTCTTTAATTCTTAAACAAGCAAAATGTAACTGAGTACTGATATATTATTTTTTTTCAAAAATATAAGGGTTACATCTACATACTGGGTACAAGTACCCACAACATGGTTTGTGGTCTTTGGCAACCTGCAGCAATTTCAACTGATTTAGCAGACTGTGTTTCAAGCAACAAGACAAGGGACCACACGAGGGTACTAATTCACACTTGCAACAGGAGCAGGGCCAAGAATCGGAGCTTATTTCAGGTATTAAGCACACAGTATTACTCTAGAATAAAAAGTTTCTTACTGCGTTTATAAAAAGATTCTTTTAAATTGTTATTGTTAAGGACTATTTTAACTGAACGCTCTTATGCCAACTAAATAATCCCTTGGGGCCAACAGTGCCATTACAAGAATAGCACAGCACTGGCTTTGTTTTCTTTCTTTTTCCACCATTGCCATGTGATTTTCCATTCTCTTAATTCTGATCAGAACCTCTCCCTTTTTCTCAGGTATTGCAAATGGACAGCAACATTTGCTATGCAGTCTAATCATGTTTTTTCCTTTCTTTTTAGAAACACAGCAACCTTCCAGTTAAAAAGAGGTCAGGAGACAAAGGGGATACATGACTCACTCCTCCAAAGAAACCAGAATTTAATCTTTTCATTTTTTACTGCAAAAGGGCTTCTAATGATACCAATATATATATAACATGATACAGAAATATTTCTTCTTTTCTTGTTAGAGTTTTCCTTCAGTATTGTACATGCCCAGATGCAATGTGATAATTGGGTAGCAATAAGGCATGTAAAGTCAGGCATTTAAAAATCAATCAAGAAATCATTCGATGGCCATCCCAACCCACATGTACACAGTTGTTATCAGACCTGAATATCCGTAGCTGGATTCCAGTCAATATCATACAGGATCAAATGAGATGCTCCAATCAGATTCAGTCCTACTCCGCCAGCCTTTGAACTCAGTAAAAAGATAAAAGCTGGACTGAATTTACTGTTAAAAGTATCAACAATCTGTTGTCTCTGGGAGACAGGAGTATGTCCATCAAGTCTAGTATAAGAGTATCCATAACGTTTGCATGTCTCTTGTAATATGTTTAACGTCTGAGTGTAATTGGATACCAGTACGACTCTGTCAAACAGTAAAACAAAGTTATCTTATCATCTTAGACCTTGGTAAAGTTAAAGTCCAATAACAAATTACTGAAGACATCTAAGAAAATAAAATTACAAGTCAAGAAAAATTACACATCAACCTGAGGTTAAGTTTCCTATTAATGTGAAGCACATACTAGATTTAGATGCATTATACCTACTGTCAAGCATTCAAATGTTAACTAATGAATGTTTTCCTTCACAACAGAATTTGGCTTAATGCACAGATTGCAGGGATCCAGAACCAACCACAAAGATAGATTTATTTTTTTTTAAATCTCTATTTATAAAAAATAGCTGTTGTTAAGGCAGCATTTGCAGAGGGTGTTGTAGTAGCTAATAGATAATATATATATGACTCTACTTACTGAAAAAGCTACTGCGAACTTCTTTGGACAACCTCAGAAAATTCTAATAAACAAAATCATGAAAGTCAAATAGGAAAGCAGTGACTTTTTTCTACATTTTATGACTGAAAACAACTAGGATGAAGGATAGTGGAACATATCACAAACAATATAGTTGGGACTTTCGTTTGGTGTTTTGTTTTTTTTTAAAGCAAAATCAGTCTGATCCCTTACACTAATGACCCATACTATGACGGTGTTTTTTTCTCTGAAATTTTAACTAAATAAGTTTCAGAGATCTGCAAATCTAGAATTTCTGTCCTCCCAGATATTGAGGATGATTCTACTGAGTGGTTAAAGAAAGATCTTTTGAATTTAAGCCATAAATAAATTAAAGGATATTTAGGGCATTTTCTGCCAGATCTTGTTTGGACATCTTCTATAATCTAAACTAAGTGTAACAAATTTCATCAAAGGTGATCCATTTTTTGAAATAATTTTGATTAAAAACAAGTAAAGAACTAGACAAATAATTTCAGGGAAAACTTGATAAATGAACATTTTAAAATTGTTTTAAAGTATTTTTATTATTACACTTTACAATTGAACTACATCCAAGACTTGTTTGTAAAGACTTTGCAGGATTGATTTTTTTGTGAATCAACACCAAATTCACACATTTGTTTTCACTCAAAAATAGAATATAAACTTCGAAAGAGGACTGGAATCTAGTCTGTACATTGTAAAAAACTGTTTAAGTACTAATGAGAGCAGAGAAACAAAGAAAAAGAAACATGAACAGCACTGAAGTAAAGCAACAAAATTTTTAAAGGTGTAAAATAATGCCTGAACACTAGCTGTAACTCAGCAGCTCCTACAGCACTGATACAGAGAGGTGGTTTTTCCTGGCACCCTTGTTTCTTTTGACCTACAAGAAATAATGCCAGTACATTTAGATATTTAATTGTCATTGGTTTCAATGGATGTTAGGCATATAAACTCCACAATAGGCTCAGCTTTCTGATTTGTAAAAAGAGAGCAGATTCAAATTCCATTACATCAGTGCCAAGAGATTTGCTGTAACTTCCCACTACAGAATTACAGCATGTCCTATTTAAGCACCAATTTAAATAAAAGTTAAAAGCTAAATACTTTTGGAATAGCTGGGCTTTAAGGCATGAGTCCATAAAAAAGTCATCATGGGATACAAGGTCATGTGAGATTTCAATGAATCGGCAATTGCACAGTAACTAACCATGTGCATCCTATTACCCCATGATAAACAGATGCTTTCCTACATGTCAGTGGCATATACTGCAGGGGAAATAAGCAGTCACTGTGCAAGTTTGTCTGTTGAGACTGGTTACCCTGAACAGTAAAGGTAGCAAGCACTGAGCAGTTATATATGATTAAAGAGGAAATAACTTATAATCTAGTAATTAAAAATATTTTAGTGCTATTTAAAATATAATATTTAGTACATTAATACATCTCCTCAAGGAGATACAAAGCATTGGAAAGTCTCTGCAGGTAAAGATAATATGTCATTGTACAGGGGCTGTAGCAAACTATCTTACTTGCTGGAACTCGGTATAAAATATCAAGTATATTTATCTGGTAAAAATATGAAGAGCCTCTTTGAAAATTATGTCAGCTGCAAATCCTAGTTTAGTGTTTAACAAGGAAGAGCCAGGAGTACAATGCATAAATATGCTTGGCACCTCTGCAAACAGTTGCAATATCTTTATTTTGAATATTACATCCCCATGCATTTGAGAAGCAAAACAATATCCAGAAGGTCACTCCCATTATCTCCCTTTCACCTTTCTTTCACACTTGCCTTTCAGACGAATTGAGCTCATGGATTGCTGCTAACAACTTCACCAGCACCTGCAATTTTCCTGAATCAGTTTCAGAGAAAGTGTCCGAAGTATAATCTTGTGGAAAGACATCTATTAGACCTTCATAGAGGCTGGACTCATCATGTTCATCAGACATAGGATCGCAGCTTTTTTCCTATTGAAAATAAAAGGATTCAAGTTCCCATACCCATACCCACTCTAACATGTTTTGGTTTTTTTTAAACTTTGCTCTATTTTTTTTCACAAAGACAAAAGGAGGCATCAAAAGCTGCCACAAAGTAGTGTATCATGTGAGCACGACAACCTCCCAATACTGGATTGAAAGCACAGTTTTAAAATAGTGACAGTGTTTATTTTGGTTTACACCCTCTAATCTAAGATGTGGTTTGCAGCTGAGTAGAAAGCTGAAATACTTAAAACTGAAAAATGTGTTTTACTTCTAATTCTCTACTTAAACAACCACACAGATGTACACCCACAGCAAAGCCGTATCTAAAACTTGGGGGAAAAAAAAAAACCATACTCTGTTTATTCTTTCTAAATTCCATAACACCTTATTATGGAACTTCCCAGTCTTTGACTTTTTTTAGGAAGATGTTGTCATTAAGATTCAGTTATGCAACTGCAAATGAAGAAAAGCTAGCAAGTAAAAACAATAAAATAGAAGAAATACAGGTAGTATTTTGCTGTAATTTGAAAATCAGTGTTTCACAGGGAGGAAAAAGCGAAACTACTCCAATGCCAAAACCACAACGGCAATAAATGACTTGCACATATAGTCTTTTATATCCCTATAGTTTCTAAAGACTTACGCTTTCATGTATGAAAAATTCCTAATGCTTATACTATGAAGTAAAGGCAATGAACTTTACTTGGCAGTGTTGAAAGTTACAGGGAGGTCTGTGCTGCAGAGATTCCTACAAAGTCATGAAATATGTCTTTTAAGAAAGATTTACATTTCCACCTACCTTACTTGGACTTTGACTAGTAGCCATAGTAGTATTACCAAGTTCTAACTATCTCATTATTTACCTATAGGACTGAGAACATTTCTATAGAAATAACAAGGTGCACAGTGTGATAGGATCCCAGGAGAAGTGGAAATGGAGACATCTAGTACCACTGACATTTTGAGCCTGCAGCTCTCAGTGTCACTGAGCTTCAGCAAGTGAAATTATCATGCGGACAGGGAGGGCTCAGAGGTACCAGCAGACAGAAAACACACAATAATCTCTAGCTAACGGTGTTCTTTGTAAAATTCACATTTATATCTATTTTTATAAATACTCAGAGACAAGATTAAGAGGGAAAATACATGAAGAACAAGAAAATACTATAAGGTAGTAGGAAACTGGTGAGATACTTTCCCTGAGTACATTCAGATTTCCTAACATTTATGTTTTTGAAAGCAGATCTCCTAAAGCAAGTTGTATGTGACAAAAGAGTATGGAAATTACCTTAAGTAACATGCACATTGACCAAAGCATAGTTTTAGTGACCTTTGCCTGCTGAAATGACTAACTGCAGGCACCCACCCCCACACAAACAGATACCTTTATAGCTTTAAACAGAAGACATGGATGATTGCAAAGCTTTTTCAAAGCTCCTATACATATTAGGTGAGGACTGTTTTCTAGCCTGCCTTGTAGACAGGACGTTATAACTCGAGAACTAAGCAGTTTTCGATACAATTCAAGTTGCAGTGCTGTTGCTCGGCAGAAGATTATGTTCTCCTTTTTAGGGGGCAGAAATTTGTTTATAATCTCCTGTGTTCTCCTTAGAATAAAGAGTCCAGTGAGGCGTGTGAGTTCTGCTGCTCTTTTTTCTCCTAATTCCTTTTCCTCCTTAAAGAACAAAGCACAAAATGAATTATAATCCTGTATTTCATCACAATAATTTTTTGTATGATTTTAATTAGGAATTCAAACAACATTTTAAAAGTATGATACCACCTTCTGACATGGGACTGTAATGACCAATTCTTCTCCAATTAGTACCACTGCATTAGCTTAGTTCTAGGTCTGGTTTCTAAAGTCTTAAACAAAGGAAGATAATGTCACAGAAGACATTGAAGGCTTCAATTATATTCTAGAATTTCTTGAGATGCAATAAAATCATGCAGACTGCGCAATACTGTCGAGAAACTAAGCATGAATAAAGTATTGTCACATGGTAATGCGCACGGAATTTTTGGGAGGGCAAGGTGCTGGAAGAACAATTTTTGCCAGCTAATTAATAGGCAGCTGAAATGATGTGATCTCAACATGTATGTATTCCTCTTGCTCCCTTCAGAGAACAAGTGAATTTCTTTCAAATAGGAAGGTGTAAGGCTTTTGCTACTATTAGTAGCCCTAAGCTTCATTTTATTCAACAGAAAGCAAATTTCACAGTGCTGTCTATGAATTTTCTTCTATAACTGCATTTTTAAAAATAATATACCTTTGTTGCTGAAGGTTCTCTAGATCTGACAATTGGTTCCTCATATATCTTTCTATATGTAGATAAAGAACCAAGTATTCCTGGATTCACAAACTCTATTAATGCATAAAATTCTTGCAAGTCATTTTGGATTGGAGTACCTGGACAGAGAAAAAAAAATAAATCTGCATTTGGTAACTTCTTCTGGAAACTGATAGAAGTACAATCATTGATTGCAGGGGTTTAATGTTCAGAATCCATCTTGAAAACAGATGTTTTGTTTCAATGTGAATTACTCAGAGTTCTGAATTAATCAAAACTTTCTAACTGTCCTCCTAACTAAATAGACTGCACACCTAATTGTTTCAGCAAAGGAATTAAAAAAGTCAAGTTCTAAATCAATTTTATTACACAATTACAAAGGAAAACAATGAGTGTATGCAAACAGAGTCCTGATTCCCTTACAGAAGTTCCCAGGCTCCTTGTCTGCCCCTAAGGATCGACAAATTTTGCATTTATTTTAAAAAAATGGAAATGATCTCTTTTTACAAGACCCAAGATTTGTGCATTTAATACCCATTGCCAAAATTTATACTGTGGTCCTGCCATACTTACAATATCTTTTTCCTTTACCCCAACTTAGCACTATTAACACAGCAAAATATTAATAGTAACTATAGATACTAACCAGTAAGGATAATTCTCCTCTCACAAGACAGATTAGTGAGAGCTGTAGTTGTCTTAATAGAGCTGTTTTTCAGACGATGTCCTTCATCACAGATTAGGAGGTTAAATTCTATAGCCTGAATTTGATCCAAAGATCGCAGTAGCATCTCATAACTGATTATCATAACTGAATAAAGTGGAGAACCAATAAATTCTTCTACTTTGTGGTCCTGCAGGCATAAAGGAAAATATATTGTACAACTATTTCTTTGGAGATCACTCACCATATTCCTTAAACATCCAGTGTCTGCAGAAATTTTTCTAGCATGACACAAGACATTTACTATCTCCTTCATGAGTCTGGCTTATTGATTCTTTCCTAATTTGCAAAGGAAATATGGGATCTGATACAGCAATTTAGAGTTTTACCACCTCATTAAAAGAAAATTTATTATGCTTTTAGGCCTACAAATCCTCTGAGACACAGTACCATGAAGGTGAAAAGCACAAGCTCCCTGAAACAGCTTCCCAGTCCTGGCATTTAGGTAAGCTTAAAAATGAATAATTAAAGCCAAGATAATGAAGAGGTATAAGTAGCTGTCTGTACATTCACTTTGTGATCTTAAGCTGCAAGGTGCAGTAATGTGGTCCAGTAGGAAGTTACCACATTCTACCAAATTTCCCCTTGTAGATAGAATTGAATATGATACTATTGAATATGATATTATTATGCAACTGATATTACGATATTATATGAATATTATTAAACCTATTGAATAGGTTTTAGATTTCAGAAGAGCAAACTTCAGCTTGCTCAGAGATCAGTTGGGACAGATTCCATGGGAAGCTTCTGTGGAGGACAGTGGAGCTAGTGAGTGCTAGGATTTTTCCAAGAACGCTCTCCTGGAAGCACAAAACCAATTCATCCCCTTTAAAGGTAAGGGAAGCAGGCAGAGCAAGAGACCCCCTTAGCCTAACTGCGAGCTTCTGAGTCTGCTCAAAA